TTTTTTTTTTTTTTTTTTTTTTTTTTTTTTTTTTTTTTTTTTTTTTTTTTTTTTTTTTTTGGCATGGCTTTCTTTTTGTTTAAGTTTTTCCATTTTGTTCTAAGCTGTAGAGCAACAAGGGGGTCAAGTTGGTACATGGAGGCTTTTTCATGTCTAGTGTTCATGCCGCCTGGTGATAGAGAGCCACTCCTGTCTCTCCTGTTCCCTCTGCTGGTAAAGGCAGTAACTACAACCTGAAAAGGTCATAGTTCCTCATCCCAACCACGAGTGTCAAGATCCTTAGATCACAACACATTGCCAATCATTTTGCTTTATTACGCCTTCATATAAAACTTTTATATATCTCTTGATGGCTTACATAACAAATTTATGAAAAAGAGATGTATACCCTTCCTAAGAATGGTGGCATTCTGGTTTTCTGTTTCCTGAGGGCACAGGAGCATGGAGGAATTTTCCTCTCCCTGCCTTTGCTCACTTTTCCCTGCTTTCCCCGAGCCGCATTGGTCCTGGAGGACCCAGGAAGTGCAGCTCCCAACGCCGCTCAGCATGAAATATCAATGCAGATGACTCACTTCGACTTCAGTGTAAATCACCATTGCAAATGCCAAGCCCATTATAGCCAAATCCTTCAGGGAGTTGTTACGTCCATCTCTGCCAGTAGAGAAAGGAGGTTTCTTAAAGGGGCAGCATGGGTTTTTAACAATGCTGCCTTAGGGTGTTACAGGAGGTGTTAATTTTTTAATATGTTTAGTGCAAAAAAAAAAAAAAAAATCAAAAAAACTGATAAGTAGGAGAAATACTAAGGTTTTTATAAAGTAAGTCAAACCCAACCTTACTTCAAAAGGTGCTCCCACGATACTGGGTTTCTATTTTGGGTCTGTTCAGTAGTGTTGAGGTAGGCACAGGTTGTTGCGTTTGATGCTGTGATGTTGCCTTTTGTGTCACCATGGGTTGAAAAAAGGTACAAACTGTTTCAGTCATCTCAAGGTTGTGTTGGAGGGTATTTCAGTTTGATGCAGCACTGCAGAATCTCATTTCTCCCTAATCTTTGTGCTTCTTTCTATGGCTCACTGGTTTGAGTGGAAAATGCTGTGCAATTCTTACTGTTGTGGCATTTAAAGGGTAAAGTAAAAGGGGTATTTGCAGAATATTGCACAGGCACAGGGGAGGAAGGATTTGCTCTGGCCTGCGGGTTACTCCAGTGGAACAGTGGTAGATGGAAGAGTGCCTAGTCATGCTGAGAAGCTCGGGTATGGCTTGCCCAGGTGATGCAAGTGTAAGCAGATCTTTTCAAATGTGCCCCAGTGACATTTTAGACATCGAGCTGTAATTGAACTGGGCTGGAGAGCCATGGGTAGAATTTATGCTGTCTCTCAGGTTCCCAGCCCTCCTTCACTTTGCTTTGCACTCCTTCACAATGGAGATGATGGGTTGACACTGGTGGGTAATTAAAAGAATGCAGAGCCACTACAAAACCATAATTAGTCTCCAAGGCCTTGCTACCTTTTGACCTGTTGAACTGTATCCCTTTCCCCAAATTTGAAGTATACCAGTTGAGGCACCGTAGAGTCGAGGATAGTCCTGTCTACAGAAACCTTTTTGGTGTTTCCATCCATTGCAAGAACTAGACTCCACAGACTGAACCTAGCTACATCCAGCTGAAAGCTTCTGGTCTATCTCAGGCCAGATCAGTTGGAGATCACAGAAGACTTTTTAAAATTTTTCAAAATTTCCTAAAGGTCCATCCGTCCTGCCATCTGTCCGAGATTCTCTTTAGCACAATATCTCAGAAATGAGTGGTCAAATGTCTGTAGGATTTATATATAACTATCATTGTAGCCAGCAGGTTCCCTGTTGGACTAGTGGCGAGCATGTGGCACTGTTACCGCCACGGCCCGGGTTGGATTCCCTGTCAGGGAACCAACGCCGGACACTGGAGGGTTGCACAAGGCCGTGCACTCCCAGTGCCGGTCCCAAGCCCAGAAAATGGGGAGGGTTGTGTCAGGAACGGCATCCAGCATACAACTTGTACCAGAATCAAATATGCGGATGGGCGATCCGCTGTGGCGACCCCAAACGGGGAGTAGCCGAAAGAGGGAATCATTGTAGCCAGCAGATGAACTCGTTAGATTTTGGTGAATTGATGGAATATTTATAATTAGTGTATAATTATATTAAAACTAATTAATGTATAATTAGTTAAAATAGGATTCTGCTCACATCTGTTTGCTTAATTTGGTCCAGTTAATTTTGTTCTTTACTTTGGTCTTCTTACTATCCATATGTCTGGAAAAGGCTATGTTCACATTACCAGGTGACCAAGTTCACATTACCAAGTAGCACCAATCCGATTTTCTGCCTGAAGATCTCTCTTTTTTTTTTTTTTTTTTTTTTTTTTCAGGATTGCGTGGTTGCAAAAATCACACCTGAGCCGCTTTTATATGTTGTCCTAGATAGGATACATATCTGATAAGTGGCGATATGGCATAAATGACAACAGTCAGATCAGTGGCTTTTTCCCAACGTACATGCGCTTCACTGTCATCCATCATCATCCAGTGTCAGCAAGGCGGCAAAGCAGTAATTTGCTAGATATCTGATGATGATCGAGCAAAATTGGAAGGCACCTACTGCAACTGAGAAGATATCAGATCCCAAGATATCAGTGTGTGTATATGGGGGATTTTGGGGGATATGGGTCACTTGCAGTTATGAATGTATACCGTCAGGATAGACATTTCCAATTAGAGAAAAAAATCTAAATTTTGGAAAGAAGCTTGTAATGTGAACGTAGCCAAACTAGTCCTGGCCGTAGTGGTTTGGCGATTAATGCTCTGGGATATTGATTGGAAGGTTGGGAGTTCAAATCCTGGAGCTACCACTGTTGGATCCTTGAGCCAGACCCTTAACCTTGATCAGCTCAGCTCAATTGTAAGTCGATTTGGATAAAAGCGTCTGCTAAGTGTGCAAAAATAAATGTCTCTTGCCTTTCTGACAATTGAGGATTTCAACCAAGCATGCGGTTTCCCTGTTTGTGTTCTCATTTTCTTATTTATCCCTTTTTCGTATATTCATATTCTTCTGTGGTATTGAATGGAGCGTCAGGCGTGCTGATGGCACTGGTTGTGACTCATCATGCTGGCCCACTCTCCCTCCCCATCTGCTGCCTGAGTCTCAGACACGAGAGGGAGACTCAGCCTGCCATCGATCACCTCCTCAACCAGCTTGCACACACACATGCACAAACGCACACATGCGCACACGCTTCTCTACCGACGTCACTATTGATCCCCATGCTTCTTAACATCTAGTTGCTAAAAGAAAAAAAAAAACTTAACCGTAGCAGTGTAGCAATGTGTAACATAGTAGAAGAGGCCGAAGTCATAATTTTTGGTGTCTAAAGTGAAAAGATTTAACATCCATAAACCTGGATGTGCGTCATCTCTTCTATTCTTCATGGTGCAAAGACGTTTATTTTGATGTATTTCTTATGTGTAATGACACTTGAATCAACAGCCCTTAAGTGAGTCATCAATTGGACAATAAGAATGTGACATTCAAGCACAGACGGCACAGGCAGAAACTGTATTATCGAAAAGCAGGTAGATGAAGACTGCTAGGAATTCTTTTCTAAAACCTAAGGCTGGCCTTCATAGATGTGCCAGTTACATTTTAATTCATTCATTCTTTTTGTAAATTTCCCATTGGCAAAGCATCAGAAAAAAACATTCATTCATTCATTCATTCATTCATTCAGATCCAGAGCCTATCCTAGGAATAATGGCTGGGTGATATGATGATATAATATTGATATTAGGATAAATTGTTATACTGTTCTTTTCTGAGGTATTGTGGATATTTTTTTTTAACTTTTTTGTGCTTTAATTACAAGCTGTTTTTTTTTAAAATAATCTTTTCAATGTTAAATCATTTTTTAAAAACTTTTTATAAATAAAAAATATTTTTAAATATTAAAAAATAAAATAAATGTATTTTGTAGGCATAATATAAATCATCAATCAGGTTCTTTTTAATGCAGCACTACTGCATTGCTGTCAGTTTGTGAGCAAACCTATATACATATCGTGTAGCAGAGAAATGCGGTCCAGAATCATGATATGATTTTTTTATTATTATTATTTTTTTTTTTTTTTGGTCATATCACCTACTCCCTGCTGGGAACATTGGAGAAACCCTGGATGAGATTCCAGCCCATTGCAGGCAGCAAAGAACTACTTTATGTAAGATATATAAGACAGAATGATGTCCACAGTTCTTGTTTTGATTAATGGTTTGAGACGGTACTCAAAGATCTTCATTAAAACTGGAAGTGTCTTTTGTTTAAAACTTAAAAAAGTTTGATTATATTCAAAACAAAAGTTTGAATATATTTTTCTGTGTGCTTTCTCAATTTCTAAGTTGTCCTGATGAAATAAGAGGTCATGATGAAGCGAGGCAAGGGATGTGACCGTTTCATGGTTGCTATGGACACTGCGTAATAAGGGCAGTCTGACCTCACGTAGGGAAGCATAATGAACTGCACGTATGTTTATTGCATCAGTCGGCTCCGAAGTTGGTTTATTCAAGAGAGAAAACTGGAGCAAGGATCAAGGAAATGAAATGAGGAACATCTATCACACGGCTTCTGAGTGCCATATCCTCTGGCTTTCAATTGCCAAGAATTTAACTTCCTCAGATGTTTGTTTAACAGCCGCAAATAAAGGAGGGAGCGACTCACACATTCACACGGATATGCAGACAAACTCGTACACACACCCGCACTCTCAGTTCAGATCTTCTCCTGAAAATAAATACTTGCACTCTTTGACTTCAATTAAATTAAAACTCATGCCTCATGAGATCCTTTGCAACGTCCCTGCAGTGTGTACACAACAATGTAAGGACATGTATCCATTAGAGGCGACTAATTACGTCGTCTTTGGAGTGGAACCCTCGGCCTGTGCTGGCTGCCTGGAAGGATTTTGCCAGTTTCAGAAGTTAATCACCGTATGATTACAAGCGAGCACAAAGATAGCTTTGTAGTTCTTGATTGTTTTCTCTGAACAGCAGCCCTGCTGATTGGGATCACTGTTACAAGAGACGTTAGCAGCTATTAGAATGTATTAATGGCTTAAACATCTAAAGAAATAAAGACCAGGAGATGGCTATCATAGCAGGTGTTTGATACAAGAGGGGGAAATATAGTTCACATGTCTGTGATGAAAACGATGATTAGAACCTTTTGTTGGCTCTTTCCTTTCTAGTGGCTAATGTTAATGGGAATTTATTTGAGAGATTCACCGACACTTTTCATTCTAACAGGGGGAAAATACTATTTAACTGTGCGTGTTACAGAATTAAGGGTGGACTAATGTCATTTCGTTGATATAAGACTAATATTGGAGCTTTGAATATTGACAAATATTCGTTTACTCCAGTCGCTTTCATGGGTGCTACGTGCGGTTCCAGTTATTACTAGGGGTGTGCACAGGTATTTGAATACCCGCTTAACCGCTTGTCTTCGAATACCAAAGTCATTATTTGGATATTCATTAAGGCCTATGTCTGCATGAAGACAGAGGAAATATAAAAAAAACAAAGGCATATCTGGTAATATTTATGCAGTTGTTAGTCACCTTTTGCTGTTGTGGATGGTCTCACATAGATACTCTAAAGACTTGTACTTCTCACTTCAGTGGATAATCTCCCCTGGATACTATGCTTTCTAAGAACTGCTGCTATAATCATTAAGACTGTCCTATGTTCATCCCAGGACCCTTATTCACAATTTGCTCATAACGAGCATCCTTTCAACACACTCAGTACTGTTTATTCTTCTATACCTGTATATTGTAAGGCTCCGTAATCCCTCTATCCAGTGTCATCCGGATGAGGATGGGTTCCCTTTTGAGTCTGGTTCCTCTCAAGGTTTCTTCCTCATGTCATCTCAGAGAGTTTTTCCTTGCCACTGTTGCCTCTGGCTTGTTCATTAGGGATCTAAATCTGCATCCGTATTTCTGTAAATCTGCTTTGTGTCAATGTCTGTTATAAATAAAATTGAATTTAATTAAAATTCGTGCATAGAGTAGCACTGTTGTGGTGTGCAAGTTGGAGGTGTGCATGCATATGGTCAGATATGAAGCTTGTGGGACACTTTTGGCACTTAGAACGTTCATGAAGTGAGAATTTTAATGGACACCAGACCAAAAGTAAAAAAGGAGAAAATGTGCATGTAAAGGTTTCGACTGCGGTGCAAGAACATCAGGTAGACTTATTACAATTATGTTTGTTTTGCCACATCATGTAATTATCCATTATTATTTAGTTTTAGACATCTTTATGCAGTTATTTTTTTTCCAACACATTTGTTTAACTAGCTCCTTACCCAACATGATCTTGGCAGGAAGAGAGAGGGAGCTTTATCGTCATTCTAGCCATGTACAGATATACAGTAGAACGAAATTAGCGTTCTCCAAGGTGCTGATGTAGTACATTACAGAAAAGTGAAACAATGTCGTATAAGCTATTTAAGCTGTAAAAAAAAAAAAAGTGTAGTGCGGATTAGACAATAAATACATGCTGTGCAAGTCGATCCGGTGCAATAAGTATGACAATGGTTACCAAATTCCTATACACTATATGGCCAAATGTTTGTGGATACCTGACCATCACACTCATATTTGGTTCTTCCCCAAAGCTGGAAGCACACAATTGTATAGATCTTTGTTTGCTGTCTTTGTTTGCTGTAGCTTTTACATTTTCTTTTCACTGGAACTAAGAGGCCCAAACCTTTTCCAGCATGATAATGCCCCTGTGCACAAAATGAGGACATGGTTTGCCAAGGTTGGATTGGAAGAACTCGAGTGTCCTGCACAGAGCCATGACGTCAACCCCACCTTTGTGATGAACTGAAACACCAA